TAGTACAATAAGTAAAATAAAAATTTATTATAATTATAGCTAAATTATTATTTAATTTATTATTATAAATATTTTAAAATGTTATTATAGAGTAATATTTATTATAGAGATTATACTATATATAGTATATATGTAATTTGGCTCCAATTTTTAAAAATTGTAGACCTATAAATTCCTACTGTTGTCTGTCCACCTGTCCGTCTGTCTTCCCTAAATCTCAAGAACAGAGTTAGGCAGATAAAATCCGAGAGAGGCATGAAAAGAATATGGACAGGAGACCCCGATTAACTGTACATATACTTCTAGTGCAAACTGAAAATTACGTTATTTTAGTTCAAAAAATTTCCCCTGTAAGGAGTTACATAGATGGCCAGTACGACTCTATTGCTAACAGAGAAAGTATGCTGTACAGGGACAAGATACTACTAATTTGAGATCGAGATCATATATTTTAAATTAAATAAATTAAAAATATGATTAAAAATTGCAGTCAAGAATTAATTTTTTTTCTTTTTCTGTTCATAATATATCCTTATATATAGAGTGGCCTAAAACTTATCTAGAAAGTTTAAGCCACGACTACAACTGAACGAAAAAGCATACAAGTTTTACTGAAATATTATTCAAATCAGCATTTGAAGCCACTTACATTACGATGTGTTCGATATGTCCTTAATTCCATCAATATTTTGCATCGTAGAGAACTTTATGAAAGAGAATTGACTTCTGAATCTTTGCATGGAAATATCTTAAGGATAAAAAATATCAAACCAACCTACTGTGTAGGAGTTCAGCACGTCTATTGTATGTGAAATTTTCGTTATTCCTGAAGACGTTGAGGTAAAATTGAGGATTATGGAGATGTCGAAGGCAAACATATTGAATATATTGTAGTACAAATGGCCACAGATACTGATTTGAATGATTTTTGACTAGGATTTTCAAGTATATAACTCGTTGGTCGGTTGTAACAAAGCATTAGACTTGGTAGATAGCTTTTTTATATCCTACGCTAGATTATTTTATAGAAAAATTCATGTAAGGATGTGGAATTTTTAAATATCTGGGATAAGGTCTGTAAAGTTTAATGTTATCTCAAATTTCTACAGATACAAACTGTGTGTGTTTGTTTTGATATATGTTTTATCGTCCTTCGTTTTAAATTAAAAAATCACGTGATTTCAGGTTCAGACCATAAGTTTGTATATAATAAATTGGGGACCTGGCCATATCTGGTCTCGATTTTCGGCTATCTAACTCCATTCTCGAGATTAAGGAAGGACAGACAGACAGAGACAAACGACAGTGGGGATTTAAAAATATATTTTCAAGTTATTAACTTGTAGAAATAAATGAGAAATGCCACATTTTTTCTTGTTTAGTTACAAATATAAATTAAATTAATAAACTAAATTAATTGTGTTATAACTTATAAGATTTTTCATATTATCAACTGTTATAGTATTTATCTTAATATGTGGATTTA